ACCCGCTCCCCAGCCCGGGCAACCCGGGCTATATGATTCCATGCAACTGCAGCGCGTGGCCCAGCCCCGGGCTGCAGCCGCCGCTCGCTTACATCCTGCTGCCGGGCATGGGCAAACCTCAGCTGGACCCCTACCCCGCGGCCTACGCCGCCGCGCTATGACCCCGCGGGGCGGCCTTGCGAGGACCAGTGTGCACACGTGTACATATGTATAGGTACGAGCTCTGCGGCCTCCCTGTGCGCCCTCCCGCGACGAGGGCCCGGGTTTGTATGTACATAAGATGTATAGGTGCCAGGCAGCGGCAGAGATGCCAGTCGGGGCGCGAGTGCGCGGGAGAGTGTGCGTGTGAATTCACAGTATCATTTCAGACCCGCACTTAGGCAGCCAGCAAGAGGGCAGTTGTATCCTGCAGCAGTTGGTGATTGTTTTGCACTTCGGAACCTGTTGCGTTTTGGCCCACAGAGGTAAAGGAATAACTTTTGACTGTTGGGCTCTCCAGTTTTGTTTGTTGGAAGTTTACTGTCGGTTTTGTTTTTGTTTCTCATCCCGCTCCCCTCCTTTTTTTCCCCTTTGTCTGCGTTGCATGCACTCTGTTCAAATGTTAGCTCTGAAATGGCTGGCACAAGGGAAAAGCTGATCGGTGTCATTAGTTTCTCGGAGCTGGATGGCTCTGAGCAACCTTGCTCCCTATTTGTACTATTTGAACTTTGCAAATTTCTGTTCTTTCAAGCAGAATCGCCAGACCGGATCCATTCTTGACCAGTGACCGGCTCGAATCTGGCCTTTTGTATATGAGATGATCACGGTTTCTTTTGTTTATCACGCCATATACAAATCAGAGCTAGAGCTCTTTCTCAAGAGTAAGGAACGCAAACAAGAAATGTGTGTGAGATGAAAAGTTGTCAATTGGATTTTCTCTCTTAATAAAAAACAAAACTGCTAGAAGTCACCCTGAGTCCACTCGCTTGGAATTCTGACACAGTTTCCAGAAAGTGCAAAGGCCCTGTTCCTATTTTCCCCTTAATGGCTGCGTTCTCATTAAGATTATAATGTGTATATGTTCGTGAAAACATTGAATCAGAATGTGTTATTTGCGTTGTCCTAAATTTGAGTCGATTTTAGACTCTAAAGCATTTGAGCAAATGTCAAAGTTAACTTAAAAATTGCGGGACTATTTCAGAATCGCAATTTTATCTAAGATTAAATCAGACCTTTTTTGTCTGAGTGGTAATTATATATTTATTATTTAGCAAAACAAAAAAAAAAACCACAGAATTGTTTTGACAGATGTCTCTCGTTTTCAGCTAGCATTTCTCCAACTTGAACCGTTTAAATGTGTTTTGGAGTTCCCTCCCTAATTAGCTTATTTTTTAGATCATCTGCAATTCATTTGCAAATTACGATAAAACACATTTTAGAGGAAATAACCTTCCTCAATTATAGCTTTTTTGTTTTTTTAATGTATATATTTTGACTAATGTTTGTGAATGAAGTTGGCTAACATGTATTTAGTTTCATTTTGGCTTTATGTAATATAAAGTTTTTAAAAGTTTAAGTATTGGTTTTAATCTTTATGTGTAAATGGTTTTCTTGTGTGATCTTCTAATTTAATATTAGACGTCTAAACTATATCTGTAAATTAGGATACGACTATCACTCTGTTCATTTTTTTTGAACAAAGAGTTTAAATAAAGCCTGAACCAGGGAAAAGAGAAAATCCTCTATTTCTTGTTGAGTTCCTAACAAGATTTTTATCTGAATTGCCCTTACGTTCCTGGTCCAGGTGAAATGTAAGGTATCCTCCAAAGGCAGCCTTTGTTTCACTTTTGAATAGATTTACTAGGAAATCTAAATCAAGTCATTGTTATTCAGAGCCAAAAACCTGATTTATCACATTTTTTAATCGTGAATAGGAAAGAAGATAAAAAAAAAAAAAAAACCAAGTAGTTGTATTATCTTGGAAAAAAAAAAAAAGGCATTCATGAACCAGTAGAACAGAGCCCATTGAAAACATCTAGACCGGTCAAAGCATTTCACTAGTTTCCAGTAACATTTTAAGAGGGGAAAGTTGCTTGACCACTTTATCTTGCTAGTAGGAGAGCCCCACCACTTAAATCAGTGTAATTTGTTCACGTATCTTTGGCATATTCCTTATTTACACTTTATGATTTTGTTTGGAAGAATAATCACTGCTAACAACAATGTACAACTTTTGGCCTCTTTAGGGCTTTATTTTGTCATGCTAATGGCATTAAAATAGAAATACAACAAATTCTAATGGAGAGGGTTGAATTTCCAGGTCTAGACAAGTTTCTGCTGGAGAAAGTTTTGAAATCATAAAGAATTTTAATTTTAGTAAAGAAAGGAAGGATATCAGAGAAAAAAAATTTACTGTAGGGAGATCTTTATTTTTTGGCCTCTTTAGGGCTTTATTTTGTCATGCTAATGGCATTAAAATAGAAATACAACAAATTCTAATGGAGAGGGTTGAATTTCCAGGTCTAGACAAGTTTCTGCTGGAGAAAGTTTTGAAATCATAAAGAATTTTAATTTTAGTAAAGAAAGGAAGGATATCAGAGAAAAAAAATTTACTGTAGGGAGATCTTTATTCTCGCGCGCGCGCGCGCGCGCGCGTACACACACACACACACACACACACACACGGGCTTGCCTGACCTTCAGACAAGCTGGAAAGTGCTCAGGCCTCATTCCATCTGAGGAAAACCCACCAGCTGCTGGATATGCAGAAGCAACACAGCCAGCACCATTTTCAGAGCCCCGTACTTACGTTTAGATTCTTTTCCCCAAGACACTTAAATACCTGGGGATCATGTT